TCCTTTTCATCATCAATCCCTTTAGTTTGGTACTCAAATGAAAGCTAAAGACACAAATGAAGATTTGAGTTATTTGGTGTATAATATTGAATTGATAGTTGTTTTGTTTTCTTTTGTTTGGGATATTAATAAAATAGCCTATGATGTTTCAAAGAAAAGCAGACAGATTCTTATCTCATGACCAGACTCCTGTGACTGTGCATGAACATCCCCCTGTATAGACTCTAAGAAGCAGCATAAGAAGGCTATACCTGAGGCTGTGTAGAACTGTGCATGTGTTGTCTTTGGCACGCTTCTCTCTGCCAATTTAAAAGATCAGCACTGATTGTTTTCCAAAGTTGATATGTTTTTTTTATTGTCTTTTCTGAGGGAGTATGAGATCAATTAATTTGAGGGTCTTCCTTTAAGGTGCATGAATTAATTCCCAATGACAGACAGGTGATGCCCACCCAGGATGTGCTTTCACTGTTTTTTTTTTTCATTTCCGTTCAGAAATCTAAAAATGAGATGCCCATAATTTTGGACAGACATGACCCCTGTATGTGGTCCAGAGATAAAGAGATAACCACACATGTAACGTATTGTAGTGTTTGGGAAATGATGATAAATTGGAAACGAAATAGAGAATTTAGAATCCAACATATCAGTCGTATCAATGCAGATGTTTCAATTCAGCAACCTTTAACATCCCAATAACATTTTGCTTTCTGATCTGTAAAGTCCTTTGAAAACATCTGGAATAAAGGATCTTTTCACAGTATTTGTAGAATCATGTGCGAAGAAATAAGATTGGGTAAATTACAGGGTGTTGCTGAACCCTAATATCTTCCTCGGGCGAGCGGGTGAAAAGGCACGACGTCAGTGAACACAGACACCAGGAGTTGGATAGAAAGGCTTATAGCAGACTTGTTTATTTGAGAATAGGAAATATATATACACCCTCTCATCACCCAGGCATTCTGATTCATTGACCGTTGACATTTCATGCTCATCCCTCATCCCTATGGCTACGAATGATCAGGACCTCTGACAGAGTCTGTTGCTAGGCACTCAGGTAACACTGCTTGGTTGCTCCTTATTGAGTAGACACAGTAAGGACCTCTGACAGCACCAGGCAGACTCCAGCTCGGCTCCTTTTGGCCTGGTAGGCCTTAACTTTCTACAATGTGGGAGGAGAAAAATACATTATAAAAAAATGATGAGAGCCTTTTTTCTCTCATGATAGATGATTAACTGGAAATCATTTTGAATTAACATCACCATGTTTTGTAATATTTTGGAATTTAGTGTTATATATACCCTTAAATTGTTTGTTCTTATGACAACACACTATTTATCACATCAGGGTCACTTGACATTCATAGGTCAGTAAATATATGTCTATGGTTACCAGTGTTTGAGAAACTATGGAAATCACTTATTTTATTAACAATCATCATCATCTGAGAAATTGTGAAATTATCATTTACCTAGCAACAAATCAGGCTCTACACAAAGAATATTATCCATCACTAAAAGTCTAACTATTTAAAGAAACATGTAAATGTATATATACTTCAGAGGGTGATAACATAACCAATCGGTATGTCTAACACAGCTGGGAAATGATGGTGAGAGTTGACATTTTGCCTTAAGAAGGGGACTAAATAAGAATTACGATCCTGAATATGCAAATTTTGTCTTATTTTATATTCCAAAAATTGGGAATTTAGGTCCTAAAATTCAGTAATTGTTTTAGTTATGATTAGAATCTTACTAAATAGAACATATCCTCTGCTCACTCCCTCCTTGCATGAAAGCCCCTTGCCCCTGCAACAGGTCCATCCGTCCTCTGGTTCCCTCGAGAAGCCATAGCCTTGACGTCCACTCAGTGCTTCATATCTCCTTTGATTCCCTTCACACATCAGACATATAAGGCTGAAACTTGGTGCTGTGTATATGAGACTGTGAACCCCACAGAAATTCAACAGGACATGTGCTTACTGTCTGGTGACTCAATAGAAAAGGAAGAAATAAAGCATCAGTAGAGGAATGGGGAGAGAAATGGGAGGGTGCAGAGACAGAGGAGTCAAGAAAAGAGAAGAACGAGGAAGGGTTGCTGCAAGCAATGGTGGGAGCAAAAGGTTGTATTACACATGAGGTTCATAGAAACATTAAAGACTTTTTATATGACTCAAGTATCCAATTTTACTATATTTTGCCACAAAGTAACATTTTAAATCAATCCTGTTTTATTATGAAAGTAATATGTCATAATCTTGGAAAAATATGTGCCTAGCTCATAAGATGCAGTCATAAATGCATGCTTAGTAAAGGAGCCAAATATATAGTTTTATGGTGTTAGGAATTTCCCTCAATCTGCCTCATCTAACAAATAAAGTAATAATATTACAGCTTAGCAATAGATAAGTGCTTACTACATGCCAGATGCTCCCCTTAAGACCTATGTATGTAGATGCTGAGTTCTTCCAGGAACTCTGTGGAGTAATACTGTCATTGATGTCATAGTGCAGACTGGGCAACTGCGAGCAAGGGAGATGAGCTCACTTACTAAAGCCATATTCTGCTTTCATGGAAATGTCTTTCCACCGGCTGTCACCTTTTTCAGTGGCCTTTATTACGCATTCATTTTTCTTCCTTAGTCACTCCCAACTTGCTGTTTCCCTAAACTTGAGAACGTGCTTCTGATGGCAACACTGTCCTGAGACCCAGGAGAAGTCACAGGAGCGATACTGGCTAAGCCTAGGAGAAGTCACAGAAGCGATACTGGCTAAGGCTAGGAGAAGTCGCAGGAGAGATACTGGCAAAGCCTAGGAGAAGTCACAGGAGAGGCACAACCTCCACATTTGTTATTGGCACGAAACTATTTTTTGAACTGTCTTTTAAATTATTTTTCCTTTACTTAAAATTACCAGATTTTTTCCAGAATTTTGTGCCAGACTCATGATGCCAAATAAGAAGGAAAAGAAGTGGTAAGAGCTCAGTGTTAGCTGAGGAAATGATGGTCAGAGCTGGGGTTTACCAGCAGCCTGCCCTGTTTGAGAAAAGCTGTTTGCAACTTTAATACATTTCTTAATTTCCTGGTGTCTCAGTTACCTCAGCCATTAAAAGGTGGAAATAATGATGCTTATGTCTTAGAGTTGAAGATTAGATATATACAACATAGATAAAGTATGTATGTATATTGCAAAGAAACTTTCTACAATGAATTACTCTTTAAATTTAATATTCTTTTCTAGTTAATTTATGTAACAGTAGGAAAAGAACTCTAAAATTTTGAATATTAGGATTTAGAGGAGGTTCACAGATACCAAAAGTCAAGCAAAGAGCAAATGATGATGATGGGAAATGAATGGAGATCTAAGGTCAAGTTCTGATTTTAGGACCTACTGCTGAAGAAAGAAGGAGGAGGGAGGAAGAGAAGAAGAAAGGAAAAAGAGAAGGTTAAAGAGAAAAGCAGAAGAAGGAAAGGAGAGAGAGACTGAGAAGGAATAAGATAAGGGGGAAGGAATAATGGAGGAAGGAAGGAAACTAAAGAGAGTGTGAAGGATTTTATGAGAATTTTATCTAGAATTCTGTAAGTTCAGATCACCCACTTATCCTGATAGAAAACCATATCTGATTTTACTAACAAATTCTTAAAGTTAAAACAAGCAAACTAAAAATCTCAATTAAGTCATTTAATAGGAAGACACTTAAACATAGCAGCAAGGGGTAATTAATAACACAGAGAAGGCCTGCCAATATAAAGGTTATGACCCAGTATTCCAGAATATCTGTCCATCTTGTGAATTAGCTAATGACTCAAAACTACCAATCACATTATATACTAGCATGCACTTACCTGCAACACATAATGGAGGATGATCTCCAAATGCCTGAGCTGCCAGCAATGCTGCAGAATCTTAAACCCTTTCTAGATAATTTTATGTGGTTGATTGACTTTTGCTTGCATTATCATTACATTGGAAATTAAATTCTTCTATCCATGAACTCAGAAAGCTGGTATTACAGAGGCACATACCTTATTAAATTTAGAGAAAATGATACCAGGCGGTGGCATACTGGAATCTTTTCATGTGCTGTAGTTTCCCCTTTAGAAAGTAATAAAACTCTTCAAGTGTCATTTTGCCTCCACCTGTTATGCTTCTAAAAAGCTTTTCCATTTAAAACAGATTTTGAGAATTGTGCTTTGAGGTACATGCATAGACTCTGTGGAAATGTCTGAGTTGCCAACTGGAAAAAAGTAATGCTCATCTATGGAAAATTCCATACAGAATATGAGAGAGATTTTGAAAGGCACTCAGTTTGGAGCAACAGCAGTGTCAGTTTGGAGAGACAGAGAGCTGGGGTTAAATTACTGTAAGTTAAACAGAATCTGAGATTTTTCTCACAGTTTGGGTGGGTATAAATGACTAATCAAATAGGGCTTCATGAGAAGGTTTAGTCAGGATATTCAGATCCCCATCCCTCATGTAGAGATAAGCCTGTGATTGTAGTCCTGACATACCCAGACCGTCTAGCCAACTAGCCTGCTTCAGTTAAAGTTTTCTCGAAAGCAGTGCTGAGAGCAATTAAAGAAGTTGCCTGCCCCCACATCTATAAGCATACAAGATCATATACATCTACATACATACATGCACACAAATAAACATATACACACATACCTAAAAGGCTACTAGTTGTGTTTATTAAACTAGAAATTGATATTCTACTATAGGGATGATGTAGCTAAACAGTAGGGTGCTTGCCTAACATGCACAAGTTTATGGGTTCGATTACCAGCATCACTGAAAACATTAAATTTATTTTAGCCATTAATATTAAGGGTTTTGTTGCTTAAATAACTTCAGACATAAGTTGTTTGGACACACACACAAGCCTGAACTAACATGATAAATATTCAGTGTTACTTGCTTGCATACACAAATTTTCCACAAAAGAAAATTGAGTTTAAGGGCACACATATGACGGACCTGACAACTGGAATCTTCTTTCAGCCTCTACAGACGACAGTGCAGCTGAGAAGAAAGGAGGAAGCCTTCACGCCGGCCTCATTGTTGGAATCCTGATCCTGATCCTCATTATAGCAGCAGCCATTCTGGTGACAGTTTATATGTATCACCACCCAACATCAGCAGCCAGCATCTTCTTCATTGAGGTGAGTACCAGATTCGGCCATGAAAGCCGTACTGGAGGATGGGCTGTGTGAACTAGCAAACACCACCTGGCTTTAATGTTTGGCACATGATTTGTCAGTGTCAGGCTGGCTGATGTCACACGCATTGCACCCACTCACGTCCACACTGATAGATTACTTTCAGATGATGAGGTCAGACCTCTTATCTCTGAAGCTCTTAAACAAACAAGCCATCTTCCCTTTAGAGACCTAAGGGAAAATAAAAACCACACTTTCCAGTCCTCTTATACCAAATATGTTAACCAGCTGTTCTCCTACCCTGGGGGAAATCCAGCCTAATCTGGAAACAGGAGGACTTGAATAAATTGATAAATAAATATTCATTGAAAATTGGCTGTGTATACAAGACAATAAAGTAGGTCTGTTCTCAAAATGCTTGTAAAATAAAGAGAAAATACAGCTTCCGCTGCAAAATGATAGGTATAAAATTGAGCTACAATGTGATACTACCATGGCGTATAACATGTATTTATTCATTTCTGCATAAATGCGCACCCATATATCCACAGTAAGATTGATTGGATGCTATTCTGTCCTACACAGAATTTAGGCTTAACTCCAATGCCATAAGAAACATGGAGTATGCACAGGGCCCATGGACAAACATGGGGGTCTAGAAGGCTGGACCAGGGGAGCCTCAAAACCACTAGATACAATCAGTCCCTCTTAGCTGCACCTTCCATGGTAGCATCTTACAGGAAGATTCCTCTTCCAACAGTGGACAATACTGAAGTGCAGAGGACACAGAGAACCTTCTTTGCAGATTTTCAGACATGTGAGAGTTGAATTTGAATTCACTGCACAATATGTGGGAAAACAGTCTGGACTCTCATTCTATTGTCGAGTGAGAAATTATAATGCTTTCACAATAACAGGATGAGAATTACCATTGGCGCCTATAATAGGGATGGCTGAGTGTAGATCAATTAGATAATTGTGTCAAAGTCCCAAATGGCTCTCTTTTATCTATAGAATAAAGTGTGGTCTCCTTATGTGGCTATTCAAAGCATTTGAGATCCAGATTTTACCCATTGTGTCCATCTTTCTGCCATGGCTCTCCAGCCTGGAGTGGGAATTACCATATTTTATTCTTATCTTCTCCAGATATACCCTGAATGTCCCAAACCCTATCCCTGCAAAAAAAGCATTCATTCTGTTTCTTCCATCAACAAATCTGTCTCCTTCCACCTTGGTTCTTATCTTTGGGTGTCCAGCAGCCTTCAGTGACATGCACCATGTAATCTTTCTTCATGCATCTCCATGACAGAACATGTGGACTTGATTCTTCTCTCACTCCTGTCTTTCTTTGACATTTATCTTTCTGGTTTGTATTAGCACTCAGTCTGTGTGTGATTATTATACCCTACAAGACTCATAAATTCCTTAAAATCTAAGTTAAGTAACTGAAATCTTTTTCAAAGAACAGGCATGTTATCAATATTTCCTAAAATAAAAAATAAAAAATGCATAGTAAATATCTATGGACATTTCAAAGTTAGAGTGAAATTTCATTTAAGGCAGACTCCAGACATTGTATCCTCATTTCACCCCATAGCTATTGGGCATGCATCAGGCCTTTTGTTTACTTGGAAAGCTGTTAAGTTGCTTTAATATGTCTGATTTTCCTAGAAGAATGTGGACCTCTTACCCGAGGTTCTGAATACATTCCTTAAAGAGCTGACAAGTGACAAGCTGCAAGTCTCAGCTGACCAGCCCGGCATCAGGCCACCACAGCCTGAAGCCAACACGTGTTTGTATCTTTTAGTACACTGCAGTTTAGTTTCTGATGTTGTCAAAAAGCAGATGCCGTGAAGCAACTGATGCTGAGGGCATTAGCAGCATGTTTCACGGTGTCACTGCAATGGACGTGGTTGAAGCTCACTCATGGCCACGGCTGCACCTATATGATGGCAAAATGAGACAGAAAAACCCAAGAGATTTTTTTTTTTAAATTTGTCTTTTTGAATTAGTCTCCTTGGTTAATATTCTGAGGCTATAATCCTAATTGTGTATGCAGTGTTCTATAGTCACACATTTATAGACTAATAGGGCTATGGGGAATATTATGGTCAACTTAATCCTATACTCTCATATCTAACAGAGAAAGAATGAGGCTAAAGAAGCTGGAATGACTTTTCCAACAACAAACAGCCATAGTTTCAGAAATAACTCATTTTTCCATATAAAATGGAAGACGAATCAGTCTTCTGGCTTTTTTGTTGAACTGATTGCCAGAAGCTGCTAAAACCCATTATCTCCAAGTCACCTGCTGTTCTGGTCATGCATTTCACAGTAACTGCTCAGTGGATGTTTGTAGCAGTATCATTATTAAAGCTAGCCAGTGCTTTTTAACAAGTCACCCGTGATGACCACACAACATGGAACATACAGATCTGTGATTCTGAAAATGTTTAATTATTCATTAGATTGGTATTTTTGCACCTGTGATTGAATATAGTGATGCTACTTATATTACATTCCATGTTTCATTGTAAAATGCTATCTCTTTATAAAGAAAATGTTGATGTTCTTTGCCATCATGAAAGTGAAACTACTTGCAGAAAATTAGGACAGTGGGAAGACAAAAAAAGAAAAGGACACAGAAATAATATCATTAATATTTTAATCAATCTTTTTGGAAGTCTTCGTTATATAACTTGATATTTAACCACTTAATGACATTGCAACTTTACTGCAATACAAATTGATACTCAGGTTTAATGCCATCTTTCTATCTTATTATTACCTCTTTGGAGAGCTATCAATTATTCCTTTTAAAAGCCACTCAGTAGCTATTTATATATGGGCTGAGTTATGCACCAAAATGACACAGAAAGCAGAAGAAGCTAATACACACCTAGAAATAAAAAAAATCAAAAAAGCTTCATTTCACGATTTAATATGTCATATACTAACATGTAGATACTGTAGATACTTAAACTCATGACTATAAACCTAGTGGCCTAAAGCAGTACAGAAATTATCTCACAGAGCAGAAGGTCAGAACTTCAAAGTTAGTCTCACCACATCAAGGAATTGTCAGGGTTAGGTCATCCTAATTCTCCAGGGAAAATCTTCTCCCAGCTACTTTTAACTTCTAAAGTCTGTTTTCCTTGGCTCCTGGCCTCTCTTTCTATCATTCCATGGTCTGTTTCAGACATCACAGCTAACTCTGACCTTGTTGCATCCTTTAAAGCCCTTGGTGATTCCATTTGACCCACTTGACTAGAACAACCTCTCCATCCCATGATGTGAAGTGTATCTTGGGCCATCCATAGAAGGTAACACTGATGGAATTTCCAGTTCACAACATGGAACTGGCCCAATGGTCTTTAGGGACCATTAGTTTGTCAACGAGAGATTTCATTAAATAAGTGTCACATTATCAATTAAACTGTGACAAATTGTTTTCACTGATTATAGAAAAATAGATTTATTTTTAGCAATTTATTCAAAGTTCAATGATGTCCAAAGTATTGCCTAATGTATATTGCTGTATATTGTATAGTGAAACCTCAAATTCAGTAAATAGTTTACTTCCTGTATCACAGACTAAATGTAGCAACTATGTCCATGAGTCGAAACTCACACAACTAATCTCCCACTTTAGAACACCTCTCCCCAAAACACTCTCACCATTCCTTCCTTTTGTAATTAGCCCTTTCATGAGCATATATGATGAAGGCATATAGTCCCCCCCCATTGCCTCGTTTAGTCCTAATGAAGGACTATGGCCTAGGATGATATTCATCTTAGACGTAAGGAAGCTGAGGCATGAATCTTAGATAATTTACTTAACATCCCTCATTCACTCTGTGACAGAGTGAGAATTTGAGTGCAGATGCTCCAACTTCAGAAGTCAAACCTTTTATTTTTTTTTTTTTAAAAAAAAGTCAGGTTTATACACTGATAATCTGCTGGAATACCATAGAAGTCAAAAAGTCAAACCTTTAACCACTGGGCGGTACTGCTTACTGCCCTTCTCCTCTAACGGTTTTTCTTCATTGGCTGTAAGTAAAAGTGTAGTGTGATGTATATGTTAAGACATACACTACGTCCATACAAGAGATTCCTCAACGTAGAGTTATCAAAAAGAATTCAAAAGGTTAAAGAATTAATTAACCATGCCAAAACCATTGCCCAAATGTGTGTCTATTTATGTAGTTTTTGTTTTTGTTATTTTTCCAATTTGAGTAATGATAACAAGGGCTTACTTAGCCTGCTATCTATGTGTTTTATTTCTGCAGAAAATATGTACCAGCCTTAATATAATCTGTGGGCATACATCATTACATGATGTTTACTTGGAATTAGTTTTTAAACTTCTTGTTTGTAGGAAGGAAATGAGGTGATAAAGCAAGCCATCACTCCCTAAACTGTGGTCAGACAAGCGAATCCATGGGCTTACATCTTTGTCTTCACACACAGGAACCCCATCCTTCTGTTCAGCCTGGCGCATAGCCTCGTTCTCAATAATGTCTCACCTACAATCCTCCGTCACCCTCTGCAGATTTGAGACTGAGCATTTTCTTTGAGTTTTATATGGTTAGCGTATACTTTGAGTATCTATCTGGCTTTATTGTTATTTGCTAAAACATTTCGATTTTGATCAAAATCTGTCATATCTACATGTGCTTTAACATTATTTTAAATGCAGTGTATTGTTTTCAAACAATCTGATAGAGACAAATACATAAAAATGCACCTTAAAATTTTTCACAAGTTTTGATCAAACTGATACCTTTTTGGAATGAGCCACTTGTCCAAGATTCCTCCTTAAATTTAATTATTGCTGAATATTTCCAGGCATACATTTTGTGATTTATGATATTTTTTACTAAAAATAAAGAATAGAAAAGTCAAAGTTGACAAGAATAATGCATAAAATTAAATCCAAGGTTGGACAAAGAAAACATCATTATATAACAAAAATTATGCAAACTAGAGATTTCTTGTATGGG